AAGAAAGCCTAAGGTAGCTATGATCTGAATGCACTGATCGAAAGGGATGATGGAAGAAAATTCAATGATAACTATCAAAAAGAAATTGGATAAATACTTGAGATTGAAAAAAAATTCACCAGTCCATGGTAACAGAGCAGGGAAATCAGATACTTTTAAACAGCTAGAACAGGCAAGTTGTGCCAAATGTCCTTTTCTCTGTATGACAAGAAAAGCAATAATGGGAAGATATACATTTTAAGTCGGTTGTGCCGTGAGGACGTTTTGTTCAAGGGATTATAAATATTACAACATCTGGCCTCTTAAAAAAATTATTCTGGATGCAAATGCTGAGTAGTCTTGGTGTATGCTTACTCTGCAACAATGGAAACAGAATGTAGAGAAGCAAGTAATATGGTCCATGGAATCTGCAGAAATTTCAGCTGGGACAGAGAAAGGCTCTAGGGAGGTCATGAGATTTTAGGTATGTTGGTAGCTGTTTTTTTTATAATGCAGCATAAGGGGACAACATATGGCAGTGGTAGTAATTGTTTTCAGAGCTATGCAATAATTTTTACTTCACTGGTGTGAAATAATACTGGCAGAGTGTGTGAAGAGACAGTGTCAGATGAATTAGTGTTTAAGTGAGATGTGCAAAATCTCACCACAAGTGAGAGAGATGAGATAACGCAGCAGAACTTCTGCACCAAGAATTCAATCTGGAATTCACAAGCGATATTTATTGCTGATGTGTTGCTGAAGGTTCTCATCTTGCACTCATCAGGACTTATGCAAAAATGCCAAATTTCAAGGGGAACAATGATTTACGTGGAATGGGAACAGGGTGCTGATTGTTTAGTAAATCGACTCTGATTGGTCTAGGCGTTGCCATGGAGAATTCGCCAGAGGTCATTCACCCTGTGCTTTTGTTTAATTCAAAGAAAATTGCAATGCTTGGAGAGGTTCCTTCTCTCTGTATAGGACAGGCCCTTGTGTAGTTTATAGCAAGTGTGAGTAAGTCACATTGCAAGTATGATTGATAAACTTAAGTCAGCTGTTTCTATATTTCTTAACGCACTTGGAATCATTCAGCAATTGACATTCAATCACAGGATCACAACTAAGGATAGACATTATTTTATCAGATTTATAAGCATAACCTATTTGTGAATCGTCAAATGTTCTAAAAATGGTATGGAACACTTTATGAACGCTTCATTGTGGGCAGCACGGTGACTGTCTGTCTGGAGTTTGCACATTCTCCCCATGTCTGCATGGGTTTCCCCCGGGTGATCCAGTTTCATCCCACAGTCCAAGGATGTGCAAGTTAGGTGGCTAGGCCATGCTAAATCGCCCATAGTGTCCAGGGTTGTGTAGGCTAAGTGGATTATCCATGGGAATTTCAGGGTTACAAGGATAGGATAGAGGGATGGGTCTGGGTGGGATGCTCTTCAGAGGGGCGGTATGGACTTGATGGGCCAAATGGCCTGCTTCCACAATGTAGGGATTCTATGGTTCATTGAAAACATTAATTGATCTTTCAAAAATTCATCTGTTGAAATTTGCTTGTGCGTAGTTAATCCCCTATTCATTCTATTGTAGTTATTATATAATTCTATCTGAACCAGTCTACTACTATCTACTGTCGTTTACTATCTTTCAACCTATTTTGGGAGACTAAACGGAGGCAGATGGTGGCATAGCGGTAATGTTACTGTGCTAATAGAGTCAGACAGCACAGAAACAGAGCCTTCGGTCCAACTTGTATATACCAACAAGGTATCCCAAACTGAACTAGTCCCAATTGCCTGTATTTGGCAAACACCTCTCTAATACGTTCCTATTCATGTATCTGTCCAAATGTCTTTTAAATGTTTTAATTGTACTTGCTTCTACCATTTCTTCTGGCAGCTCCTGTCATAATGCACCACCCCCTGTATGAAAAAAGCTGCCCCTCAGCCTCTTTTTAAATCTTTCCTCTCTCACCTTAAACCTATGCCCTAGGAAAAAGACCTTATCTATACCCCTCATCATTTTATAAACCTCTATAAGGTCACCTCTCAGCTTCCAATGTTCTGGGGTAAAAAAAGTGCCAGCCTATCCAGCCTCTCCTTATAATTCCAAACCCTCCAGACCCAGCAACACCTTTGTAAATTTTTTTCTGTACCCTTTCTAGCTTAACAACATTGTTCCTATAGAAGGGCAACTAGAATTGTATGCTGTATTCTAAAAGTGACCTCATCAATGTCTTGTACAGCTGCAACATGACATCCCAACTCCAATGCTTAGTGTAGTAACCAATGAAGGCAAGCGTGCGAAATGCCTCCTTCACCACCCTGTCTACCTACAATGCCACTTTCAAGGAACTATGAACCTGTACCCTTAGGTCTCTTGTTCGGCAAAGCTCTCCAGCGCCCTACCATTAATTGTGCAAATCTTGCCCTGGTTTGCCTTACCAAAATGCAACTTTAATGCATTAGGTACAAGCTTAAATCTGAAACTCACAACTGGTGAGGTTTATACTCCTGCGTTATTAACTGAATTCTAAGCTAATCTCAATGATGGTGACTATTGAAAAGAACATACGAACTAGGAGCAGGAGTAGGCAACTGATAGCCTGCTCCGCCATTTAATACGATCATGACTGATCTCATCTCAGACTCAACTCCACTCTGCTGTGCATCCCTATAACCTTTTAACACATAACTAATTAAAAATCTTTCCTTAAATTTATTCAATGTCCCCTGTATCCACCTCAATGTGGGGTATAGACGCATGACCCTTTGAGAGAAGTCATTCCTCCTCCTTTCTGTTTTAAGTCTGCGGCTCCTCAGCCTAAACCTATGACTTCTTATCAATTCAGTTTCTGGTCATTGGTAAACCCCAAAATGTTGACAGTGAAGAAATCAGTGACCGTGATACTTATTTAGTTAATCACTGAGATAATTCACATGACTTTAACAACAGACCGTTAATAAAGAAATTCTAAAAATCGAAGACAGTCAGTTACATCTAAAACACAACAAAACAAAATTTCAACCCATATCCTATAAGGGGAAATATTCACTCTACATCTACTACGTCAGCATCTGTATACCTCAAATAGATCTCTTCTCATCCTTTTAAACTCTAGCAAGTACAATTAGCATTTATTGCCTGTCCCTACTTGCCCTTGAGAAGGTGGTGATGGGCTGCCTTCTTGAATCACTGCTGTCCATTAGCTGTAGCCACATCCACAATGCTGTTAACGAGGGAGTGCCTGGATCTTGACCCAGCAACTATGGAGGAACAGCGATGTATTTCCAAATCAGGATGTTGAGCGGCTCGGACGAGAACTTGCACATGGTGGTGTTCCCTTATACCTGCTGCCATTTCCTTTTAGATGGTAGCGGTCATACGTTTGGAAGGGGCTCTTTAAGAATCTTTGGTGAATTTCTGCACTGGTGAATACTGTGTCGGTGATATATTTGTCGAAGTGGTGTCTATTAAGGTGGCTGCTTTGTCCTGGATTGTGTCAAATGTCTTAAGTGTTATTGGAGCTGCACTCATTCAGGGAAGTGGGGAGCATTCCATCACACTCCTGACTTGTGTCTTGAAGATGGTGGACAGGCTTTGGGGAATCAGGAGGTGAGTTAATCGTTGCACTGTTCCTAGCCTCTGAGCTGCTGCTGTAGCCATGTTACTTATATGGCTTGATCAATTCAGTTTCTGGTTATTGGTAACCCCCAAAATGTTGAGAGTGAAGAAATCAGTGATTATGATACTTACTTAGTTAATCAACATAGTAATTAATCACTGAGATAATTCAAATGACTTTAACAACAGACCTTTAATAAAGGAATTCTAAAAGTTAAAGACAGTCAGTAACATCTAAAACACACAACATTTCAACCCATTTTCCAACATAATCTCTATGAGAGACTCAAGTCCAGAGGAACTACACACAATATTTCAACTCTTTGGGGTTCTCCTTAACTGACAATTCCCTTGCCGACATGAATTTTTTCACAAATCTGAGAACCTAAACTTTCTCATTTCTAATAACTTGCAGTTCCAAACAAACTCTCCTGGTTTGAATGCTAGGGAAGCGATGGCCTAGTGGTATTATCGTTGGACTATTAATCCAGAGATCCAGATAACATTTTGGGGATCTGGGTTCGAATCCCACCACAGCAGATGGTGGAATTTGAATTCAATAAATATCTGGAATTAAGAATCTAACGATGACTGTGAATCCATTGTCGATTGTTGGAAAAACCCACCTGGTTCACTGATGTCCTTCAGAGAAGGAAACTGCTGTCCTTACCTGGTCTGGTCTACATGTGATTCCAGGCCCCCAGCAATGTGGCTGACTCTGAACTACCTTCTGGACAATTAGGGATGGGCAATAAATTCTGCCTAGTCAGCGATGCCCTCATCCCATTATTGAATAAAGGGAAAAAAATAAAACTGCACCGGCTAAGATTACTGTGAAAGACTCTCCTTCTCAACCTCTCCCCGACCTGAAGCATGGTAACCCTCAGATTAAACCTCCGTTAATCATTGGGACTAATGTAACATTACAATACCACTGCACCAAAGTCTCTACATTCAAAATTAAATTTTAATTTGATCAAAATCTTGGAATTTCCTACCTAATAGCATTATGGGTCTACCTTTCTCAAGGGCAACTAGGGACAGGCAATAAATGCTGGCCAACCAGCAATGCTTATATCCCAGAACAGAATTTTTAAAAAATAAAATTTTGGATAAACCAACCATGTTGGATGATTTCAAATATTGCCACTTGTATCTGGTAAGGAGTCTATCATCTCAAGCATTAATGAATAAGTGTGATTTCTCAGACTCTGCAAGCTGCTCAGGCGCTGCATGCTCCATTGCCACGTAAACACAAGAGATGAGGATTTTGATTGACAGCTGGGTCAACCCCCCCACTACCCCATAGTGCGCATGTGTAAGCCTTGATCCGATGTCCAGAAGGACGGACGCGCATGCGACCCGACGGACAGGCGACGGAGGCCGCGCGCGCGCGCAATGAAGGGGGGCCAGCCGGTGCCGGACAGACGCATGCGCCGTCTGAAACGATCGCGCCGGGGAGGCTCGGGTGCGCCTGCGCGCTGCTGCGCCTTGGTGCCTGCCTGACGGGTCGGCGACCTGGGCGGGTGAGATCGGCTACCACCCTCGATAAACCGTGCAGCCACACTCTGGAGAGCGGACTTTGACCGGTCAGCACCGGCTCTGGTCCATAGCACGAGCGGCTGGAGGAAAAGGCCTGTGGCCTGTCTTTTTGGCGACCGGTTACCGAGGTAACGTATGAGGCTCGCTGCCGGGGAGACGGTAAGGCTGCAGGTAACCGAGGGCCGGAGAACCAAACACATACTTATATACACAAAACAGCAAAGAAGGTTTACCAGAGATAACAAGGTGTAGAGCTGGATGAACACAGCAGGCCAAGCAGCATCAGAGGAGCAGGAAAGCTGACGTTTCGGGTCTGGACCCTTCTTCCTCTGATGCTGC